AGCTCATTCTGCAAGACCCAGACCAGTCCATCCACGTTACTTTCTGTCTTCCCCTGGCTCTTCCTTCAAGCACTTCTTTCACAATGGTCAGGTGTCGTTCTAAGTGACCAAAGTAATCTATTTTATAATGATCTACTGCCACAAGTAAAAGAAAAAAAAAAGATCACGCAACTCCAAATCTGAGCAGCTCTGGTAGAAGATAAGGGGGGAAAATGACAATTTTCTGAAAAATTAGGGTTTCCGTTTTAGAGTCTGACGCCAACGATATAGCATAATAATAGATCTATATAATTTTATGTGAGGCAGCGTGGTGAAATCAGGTGCACGTCAAAATAACGAAATTGGACAAACAGGCATTTCCCCGCCAGTTTGGAAATTTTTATTTAATTTATACTGTTTGGCTTAACCTCTTTTAGGTCCACCTCACTTCCTTCAATCGCAAATATCTTGAGTTCTATTCAAGATAGATGGCTATTTATTTCATTGGAAACAAGGCAAATTAATCAGCTTTCTGATGATACCACTACTAGCTCCACATGCCCAAAAATTGACGAACGCCTGATTCAGGCGCGTTGTGACACATGGATTCAGCGCCCTAGATCTATCATGAAAAGTTGTTTTTTTTCTTTCTGAGAAGCAGAACCTCTGATTTTACAGTCCGCCTCCGCTAAGCCAAAAAGGTGGACAGACTGAAAATCTACCCAAAGAACCAAAGTTGAGGGTGAAAAAAAAAACACAAAAAAACTCAGGCTAAACTTTTTCATAATCCACAGAGAAAATCATCGTGCTAAGTAACGGCAGTGGGTGGTTGGCGGGTGCTCTCGTGTGGTTTGCTCCTTTGCTTTTAAACATGTATCGTCTTTCTCTCTCCTTCTTCTTTTATGTAGGCCTACATGTATTTTGCTCTCTTGTAACATCTCTAATCCTCGGTACGTATCTGTCCCCGTGGTTTTACTATGCACCCCGCATCATTGAGCAAAGTTTGATCATTTTTTACATAATTTTTTAAATATTTTCCTTTATCATTCTTTGTTAAAATTAACAGAACCGCATAATTTCACTTTTTTGGGCTCAGTTTGCATAATTTCCGAATTTTTCTTGCATAAAACGACGGGGACAGATTATATTATGACTCATTATGAATTTTGCCTCAAGTGCTGTAATACTAGCTCAAAACTAAATCTAAACAAGTAACAGTTCCTCTGTTCCAAGCCCCCGAGAAATAAAACAGTATTTGTACATACTTTTATAAGGTGTTTTTACGCCACCATCGATAGAATTAAGACCATTTAGGAGTGAGGCGGGCTTCTGCCTTGCCTGTCGGACCCAAACCGGCCTGAGAGGAGGATTCAGTCTCCAAGCAGAAAGACGGAGATACTCGATCAAACTGTCTCCACATTTGGAAATTCTTCATGCGACCGCGAAACTGCCAAACCTCTCTGCCGTCATTTTAAACAAAAATAGAGTATGTGCAGTTTTACAATTTTACAATTTTACAGGAGAGCCATAAAAACTGAATATTATTACTTACCAACAACACAAAATCTTTGCAAATGTCCCGAGTCAAAATTCTTTTAAGAATACAATTTTGGTAACTTCTTTTTTATTATAATCTTTAAAGATTTAAAGTAAAGCAAAATTTTTTTTATCGGTAACACCATTCAATGTTTTGGCTCCCGGTTAAAATTGTTTTAAAAAACCCTGCACGTACTGTATTTTTACAAATGACGGCAGCACTACTACATCACTGGCTCTGCGTCGGTAAACAACATTTGGGATGCATCGCGGTGAAATCAGGTGCTCGTCAAAATGAATAAAAGAAAACGGCATTTTTCTTGCCGTTAGGCAATTTTTTGTGAATTTTCAATTTTTATGTTTTAGCTCAACACTTTTTATGTCGATTAAAAATACATGTAATAAAAAACACACTGCTGTTTGGCTTTTACGGAAAAACGTTGATTAAATGTACACAAAATATGAATTTACAGTTTACAGGGATTCTCAAGCTTAAGAAGTTCCCAAACTTTGGCAGCCATTTTCTCTCTAATTTCACCTCTGACACCATGTGACCCCCATCTCCTTGAATCGAAAGTATCTCGACTTCTATTGAAGATAGATGGATAGTATTTCCATCAAAAGCAAGACAAATTAACAAGTTTTAAGATGGTACCAATAACTCCATATGCCCCAAAATTGACTAGCGCCTGATTGCACCGTGTCGTGACACATTTGTTGGTCGAGGGAGGGCTTGTTGTACGAAGTTGGACAGTCAATAGAGACGCCCTTGCAAAACAAACTTGTGGGAGCGCTCACGCAAGCTGTGGGGCGGAAAGGGGAAGGTATTTATGGTCTCTAAGGGAATCAAGAGAGCTAACAGCTCTACTGTGCCAAGGCAGATCGATGTATCTGCAAAAATTAATAATTTCTGTATAATCTTCGTTTGAATGGACGCAGCTATACCCATTCTGCACCTTGTGTCAAAGGCAGGAAGACGCATCTGCTCCACAAATAGGATACATGTACATGTATTTCACTATGGCAAAACAGACGCAACTGAAGGACCACGCCCATATTTCCAATGGCAGCGTGACGTAACTCAAAAACGTGCAGATACGTCGCTCTGCCACGGCACGGCAGCGCTAGCATCACTTGCGACAGTGCGCAAGATACAGACAGCGACCGGGAATTTCCATAAAATATTACGTGTATTATCAAAGATAGTACATAAAAAGATGGGCCACTCAGCCAAAAAAGTGTCCGCAGGAAGTATGCTCTTTGCTTCAGATGGCGCAGCAGTCTGTTTAGAAGCTCTCTTTCGTTTTTCCAGAAGAAGAATAGGAATAGCACCTCCTTGCGTGCACAGATCGACTGCTGTTCATCAGCAGTTCGGGTTCGTTCAGTGCGAAGTTTTAGGTTTTTAAAATTTTAATGACATCTCGCCTTTCATTCTAAAGTCAAATTAAACGAAGAAAACAATCACCCTTTCCTCCGGAAGAGGTTTTTTGTCAGCGTAACCATTTTAAAAAAGCGTTCTTCCGAAATTCATTCAAAAACATGCTAGTTTCACTTTGATTTTTTAAAACTCAAGTAGGATAACTCTGTTCGCAAAAGGTGCGATTTTGAGAAGAGGGCGCCACCGAATTTTGAGGACACTTTTTTAATTGGCTCGAAGAGAGAAGTGGCCCCTCTTGTTATGTAGACTCTTTGGTTCGACCCTGCTTGTTACGGCCAGTCTGGGCTGAGAGGGATCAATGGTCATGCATAACATTACAACAAGGTAGTCCACACCTCTCTTTGAGACAATTAAAAAAGAGTCCTCAAAATTCGGTGGCGTCCTCTTCGCAAATGCGCACCCTTTGCGAACAGAGTTACCCTACTTGTGTGAAAAAAATAAAAGTGAAACTGACAAGTTTTTGAATAAAAAAGAATTTAAATTTCAAAAGAACGCTTTTTAAAATTGGTTACGCTGACAAAAAAATCTCCGGAAGAGGCGACTGTTTTCTTTGTTTAATTTGACTTTAGAATGAGAGGCGAGAGGTCATTAAATATTTTTTGTAAAACAACTTAAACTCCGCATTGAACGAACCCGAACAGCTGATGAACAGCAGTCGATCTGCGCACACAAGGAGAGGTGCTACTATATTCCTATTCTTCTTGGAGAAACAACGAAAGAGAGCTTCAAAACAGACTGCAGCGCCATCTGAAGCAATGAGCGGACTTCCGGCAGACACTTTTTTGGCTGAGTGGACCATCTTGTTATGTACTATCTTTGGTTCGATCAAAGATAAACAAGATGGTTCACTCAGCCAAAAAAAGTGTTCGCCGGAAGTCCGCTCTTTGCGCCACCGAATTTTGAGGACACATTTTTAGTTGGCTCAAAGAGAGGAGAGGACCCTCTTGTTATCATGTAGTATGCAGACTCTTTGGTTCGAGTCTGGACTGGGATGAAACTGGGGTCTTCCACGTGTGACCGAGAAGCCCCTATCCTTACACCACAGAAGTGCTCTCATTCCACTCATGTAGTCATGTAGCCTACATACAACGATACACAATTCCCTTACACTACTGCTTACACAAGCCTTCAAGATCAAGTAAAGAGAAGTATATCAACACAATGATGGTCTTTTAGTGCAGGGAAAAAGTAAGACAGACAGAAAGAAACAACAGAGAGGAAGTAAAGAAATAGGACCTACCCCCAGCGGCGCACTCCAACTCCAACCACCCACCCTAACATTTCTGAAGTATTTTCCTTTCTACATTTTTAGCTGTCCCTGTCGTTTTATGCAAGTAACATTGTGAAATTATGCAAACTGAGCCCAAAATTGTGAAATTACACTTACACAAGATCAAGCAAAGAGAAGCATATATCTACATAAATAATGATCTGTCCCCTGGGTTTTATGCACCCCGCATAATTTAGCAAAATTTGATCATTTTTGGGATAATTTCTGATTATTTCCATTTATCATTCTTTGTTGAAATTAACAGAATCGCGTAATTTCACACTTTTGGGCTCAGTTTGCGTCATAATTTTTTTTGCATAAAACCACGGGGACAGAATGATGGTCATTTAGTGCTGGGGAAAAGTAAGAAGACAGAAACATCAGAGGGAAAAGTACAGACGTAGGGAAGTAGGACCTATCATAATATATATCAATGGCACTACATGTAGGCTACCACGTACTCACACACAAGGGTACCCACATTCACATAGTGTGTCTATGGGGATAATGAGCCGTCTCTGTGAACTGTTGTGAATGCAACCAACTTGTGGTTTGTGTGCTTATATGAGTCAATATGACCTGCTTATGCAGTTGCGAGCGCTGTAAAATTCTTACTATACTAACAACCAGTCTCTCTTCCCCCCCCCCCCCCCTTCTCTCTCTCTCTCTCCTTGTTTGTTTAGTACAGGGTTTTACGGCGCTCGCAACCCCCCCCCCTCTCTCTCTCTCTCTCACATCAAGCACGCGCGTGAAGCATAATCAGACACGTAAAGATCATTCTGTAAGATAGGAGAAAGTTTATTGACCCACGAGGGACATGTGGCGAGGATGTCACAGAACATCAGCAGACATGTACATAGATATTCAGCACAGACATGCCATTATAATGCTACATGTACAAAGATATTCAGCACAGACATGCCATTATAATGCTACATGTACAAAGATTCAGTACAGACATGCCATAAATAATGCTACATATACAAAGACTCAGCACAGACATGCCATAATGCTACATATGTACACTGTTCATTACAATCATTTCTTGCTAGAGGTCCACGACACGTAAGTTTCCCTGTGGAAGTTTGATTTCTTGAAAAAGTTACTAAAACAGAGCGATGTAAGTACAGTCAAAGACCTGAGTTCTTACTGCACCAGGGGGAATAACTTTTTTAATGACATTTGGATTTTTTAATGGAGAAAAGTGTCGCATGATGAATGCTCGCCGCAGTACGAAGGATCACCCACTGACACTGTTTACCAAAGAGGTTATATAATTACATGTTTGTGTATACCAGGCCTGGAGGTGTCATCTCTGTCTCAAAGGTCGAAGTGCTGTTGCTTTCGGTCCTTGGCAATGACAATTGTAGGCCTAGATAATAACACGGGAGCTTTTTTGTTTCGGTAACAATAATTATATCAGTCATCAATGAATGGGATCTGGCTCACAGTTTACAAAAGATACTTGGATTACTTGGATCCAGAGCTACAGTCATAGCAGCTGGCACACGTCCACAGGTGACCCACTGGAAACGAGTTGGTTATCAAGATATTCGCAGAATTACATTTTGTATCTGAACATCGGAAGACCTTTTCAAAATTACAAGGTTCACAAAAAAGAAGATGTACAGTATAATAATGATATAACTAGTGAAGCTTGAACCCTACAATTTTATATCTTTGAGGCAGGATTTCATTTTGCGGGAGATATGTCATTTTCAAACAACACGTCCAATTCCCAGCTGTACTCCTGTAGTGACGATGTTATTGACTGCAACAATAAAGACTTGGAAAAGATGTCATCCCTGAAACCCGGGACAGGCTACACTCAACGGGAACTTCTTGTTTTGGGTAACAATAATTCGGGAAACAATAATTATATCAATTATCAATGACTGGGAACTTGCTCACAATTTACAAAATATACATGTACTTGGATTACTTGGATCCAGAGCTATAATCATAGCAGGAAGAACATGTCCATAGCTGCACATCTCTCCTTTTCAGCGTCCACCCCAGGGACTTTTGAATGGTGGGATGGAAGAGAATGTGGAATAAAATGCCACTTGGTGGTATCACAAAAGCATTGTTTCATTGACAACGCATTATGTTCATGTAAACGAATAAACAAAGTACATTCTGTTCATGTAAAATGAAATGTAAATATAATATGTTAATATGCTTTCGAAAAGACTTGGAAAAGATGTCTTCCCTGAAACCCGGGACAGGCTACACTCAACGGGAACTTCTTGTTTCGGGAAACAATAATTATATCAATCATCAATGACTGGGAACTTGCTCACAGTTTACCAAATATACTTGGATTACTTGGACCCAGGAAAAAAGAAAAGGCCTCACAAAAGACCTAGTGTTTCAGGAGAGCCCCCTCAGTGAGATTATACCCTTACTAGAGAAGAGTGTTCATGAGATTGCCAAGCATTTAAAAGTCGCAGAATGGCAGAGGAAACAGTACCAATCACTGAAACTCACTTTGGCCTGGGGTCATGCTAGTCCACCCTGTCGTCCACTGATGCTGTAATGTCTTGTCCAGCCTCACCCACAGATTTGAGCCAAGAGAAAGTCTTTGATGACTCCTATGGTGACAGCAGCCTTTGGAATGACATGAAATGGTATAGGTTTAACGCCCCTATCAACACTATAAGGTTATTTAAGGGGCGGGACCTCCTAGTTTAACGTCCGTCTCCGATAGGACCGAGCCGAGTGGGAAGTTCGTGTAAAGTGCTTTTCCCAAGGACACGTCGGACCAAACTGAGGCTCGAACCCCCGAACTCGCAATCTCACGATTACGATGAAGTGCCGTGGAAGAATTATGCTGTTGCTTTCGGTCCTTGGCAATGACAATTGTAGGCCTAGAAAATAACACGGGAGCTTCTTTGTTTCGGTAACAATAATTATATCAGTCATCAATGAATGGGATCTGGCTCACAGTTTACAAAAGATACTTGGATTACTTAGATCCAGAGCTACAGTCATAGCAGCTGGCACACGTCCACAGGTGACCCACTGGAAACGAGTTGGTTATCAAGATATTCGCAGAATTACATTTTGTATCTGAACATCGGAAGACCTTTTCAAAATTACAAGGTTCACAAAAAAGAAGATGTACAGTATAATAATGATATACCCTGTGAAGCTTGAACTCTACAATTTTATATCTTTGAGGCAGGATTTCATTTTGCGGGAGGTATGTCATTTTCAAATCATACGTCCAATCCCCAGCTGTACTCCTGTAGTGACGATGTTATTGACTGCAACAATAAAGACTTGGAAAAGATGTCATCCCTGAAACTAGGAACAGGCTACACTCAACGGGAGCTTCTTGTTTCGGGAAACAATAATTATATCAATTATCAATGACTGGGAACTTGCTCACAATTTACAAAATATATATGTACTTGGATTACTTGGATCCAGAGCATAGCAGGAGGAACATGTCCATAGCTGCACATCTCTCCTTTTCAGCGTCCACCCCAGGGACTTTTGAAGGGTGGGATAGAAGAGAATGTGGAATAAAATGCCACTTGGTGGTATCACAAAAGCATTGTTTCATTGACAACGCATTATGTTCATGTAAATGAACAAACAAAGTACATTCTGTTCATGTAAAATGAAATGTAAATATAATATGTTAATATACTTATTTCAGTTTTATTCACTTTTTCAGAATCTCCTCAGAAGCTCACTTTTAGTTACGTCCATCACCAGCAACAGACAGTATTGTTTGGTGGAGGAGAAAAAAAATGAACAAGTCCTTCAGTAACACCAACAAATGCTCAATTCTTGCAGTGGACATAAACTTCACTGAGAAAAATATGCAACGGCAATTGCCCTCCTCACTTCATCATTAGATGTAAGTGAGGTTAATGCACATTTTGCCACTTTGTTTTTTTTTTTACGAATGCCTGCACTTTCACAAAATCTTTAAATTATTGGTAAGATAAAGTAATAAAATATAATGATTTGCCAGTACTGATATAATTTTATGCACGCAAGTATAGAGACAATTCCTAACACGTACACGTAGTGAAATAAACGTGGTCCAAATTTTACGGCACAATACACGCACCAGTTAGTAAAAAAAAAAGTGAAAAATACACGAACAGTATAAGAACCCCCCCCCCCTCCCAACCATAATATGCACCTAATTATAATCTTTAGAGCATGATCTCTCTGATGACTCCTTCCTTTCGTTGGCGACAAAAACAAACTACACTTGAAATCACTTTGAAAAATAAGACCTTTGGTCTTGGCAACCTCCAATGACAGCAGTACATTTTGTAGGCACACCAAGTTGAGACAGGGGCAGGAAGGGGGGTTGGGGGGGGGGGTAAGAATCAACACTCCTGCCCCCCCCCCCCCCCAAACCTTCCACATAGAGACCAATCACGTGATCACTCGCTGCCTTAAGGCATGTTTGGTACAAACTGACTTCCCTTGTTCAGCACTGCTTGATGTCGTATCATGAGGCTGGCAGGTGGAAACAATATATCAGTTCAGTTAGCCAAAACAGAAAGCTTTCATCCTGGGTGCACCAACTATATTTGTCTGGGGAAACGTTTCACAGCGCTCACACAACTGCATAAGGCCATGTGAGTTTTTAGCTTAGTATGGCGGGGTTTTACAGCGCTTGCAACTGCACAAGGTCATATGAGCGCTCGAAACACCAGTTAGTTTTATTCGCAGTTCTCTGTACAGCTGGGTACGGGTAATTGGATCTTAAAACGTTTAAGAGTGTGAGTGCGTGGGACACAAGCTGGTTGTATTCACATTACTATTCACAGCGTGGTTAAGTTTTACTTGGCTAGTCAAAAGATGCACCCAGGATAAAGTGATCTGTCATAACAACAGGCAATGCAGGCACATATTTTCCCTTCACTCACAAACCTCTGTTTGTACATCAGAGAACTATGTGCTCTGCCTGCCCTGTCTCTTCGCCTCCATCAATCATGAATGAGAACAACGCAGTTTCCAGAAATCAAGGAACCCGGCCGCACAAAGAACGGGAACACTTATCAACACAAGTGCTCACGAGGCAATGCTAGCGGGTCCACTTGCAAATTTCTTCAAAGATAATACAAGTGCAGCAATCCTTAACTTGATTCTTCTAAACGTATTCATGAGCCCTTACTTTCCTTATTTTAACAGTGGTGAGATGGAGGAATGTGCAGCAAAAATGGTTGTTTTTAAAAAAAAGTTTAGTATGGGGTTCTACGGCGCTCGTAACTGTATGAGTTTTGAACTACAAATAAGTTACTACTCTGTAAATGACTTGATAGGCCTATATCTGCTGTAAAAAAAAAAAGATAAGAAAAGAAACTAACAGACGTACCTATGTCCACTGCATTTACGCACTACCTTCAATGAAAATGTAACAAGTTTTCAGCATTTGTTGGTGCTACCTCCACAACTTGTCTGTTCCCAACTGCAGAAGGAACTGTTAGAAAAAATATCATGAAGTAGTGTCTAGCAGAATGGGAGTTTACAGAATGTCTTCCTGCATTTTCATCACTTGTTTGATTTGTTTTTTTGTTGTCTGTATCTTCCAAACAGTGACCACCAGCGACCAGAGAGTGTCTACCACCAGCGACCTGAGAGTGTCTACCACCAGCGACCAGAGAGTGTCTACCACCAGCGACCAGAGTCTACCACCTCCGGTGCTGCATGTGTCACCGACACGGGACCCCATGGACCACTGCCATGCCCTCCGTCCGACAAGTACAAGGCTCCAAGATTGTACCTCTCGAGGTCTTTTACTCAGAGAAAGACCAGGAGCTACATTTGCCTAGCTTTTCAAAGTGCAGCCATGAAAGCTCTGCTTCAGACCTATCCGCAGTGCCTTATAAACTAACTGTACTTACAAAGTGAACAACTATTTGTATCCACCGTTAACAATCAAGTGTGAGGATGGGGAGGGACATGAGATGTCTGTCTTCCATGCATTCTTGGCAAAGGAAGATGGGTACATGGTGGAAGAAGGTCTCCAGGTCTTTGCCCCCACCAATGTAACAAGGAAGAAACTGCTTGTTTCATTGTGGGCAAAGATGTGGCCAAGATTGCTGCCTTCAACACAGTCCTCCCACTTCCACATAGCACAGGCTGTAGAGCGTTTATTGTGTGGGGAACTTGGAAGGGGGACCTCGGCTGTTGAGCACTGAAAGATATACAGAACATAAAACATGCGTTTCAGATTTCGCATGCACGCAAACATTCAAACGACGTATGCAGTGTCTATCTGTGGGATGAAGAACTGAAAGAAAGAGGGGATTATCATAAAACTTTCTTAAAGCTTCAAAGGGGAAAAGATTAAATTAATAGTTTAGGTAAAGATGATTTTTTTACTTTGCACTCAAATCTCCCTTTCAAAGAGAAATGATGAAGAATAACTGTTTCAACTGTATTTACATGGACTCCACACACTCCACAACACAATAGAAATATTTGTTAATAGGCCTATCTGTTGTTGTTGTTGTTGTTGCTGATGCATCAAGCCAAGAGGTTCCTGTTGCATTTGCTATTTGCAACAAGGAAGACAGTCATGTATTAGAAACTTTTCTTCGTGCTGTAAAAGAAGCGAATAACAATACTGATTTTTACACAAAATGTTTTATGAGTGATTTAGCACCTTCATTTTATAATGCCTGGTGTGCAGTGTTTCCAAAGCCTGATAAAAGACTATATTGCAAGTGGCATGTAGACAGAGCTTGGAGGGAAAAAAGACAAGAGCTTGTGCCGAAAGAAATGCAAGACGAGGTCCATAAAATGCTGTGCCTGTTGAGAGATGAAGTGGAGGAACAAAAATTTGGCAAACTCACAGGAGCATTTGAAGAGTATGGAGTTCAGAAGTTCCCTTTGTTCATCGTTTATTTCCAAAAGTGAATATGTCAAGGAAGACAAGGTTATCTATTGGGCTGCATGTTATTGCATAGGCGCACAATCAAATACAAACTTGCATGTGGAGGCGTTTCATCGTAATCTCAAAATTAACTACGTGAACAGGAAACAAAACAAACGTGTTGATGAGCTACTACACGTGCTGCTAAAGGTGACAAGAGATGTATTTTTTTAGCAGTTGCGTAAAGAGACACTTGGGAAAGTGACAACAAGCAAGCAGCGTGATATTCTGAGTTGTTGTTTTCTCCGCTTCCGCCTTCGGCCTCTACTCTAGCCGCTAAGCAGAAGCCTTGCCTAGTTTCTCTTTCACTTCTCACTGTGAGGAAGGACACAGAGAGGCGGCAGAATGTTCAAGGGAGCAAACTCGCTTCATGGCAGAAATTTCAACTGAAGTTGAAAGATTTTGAGAGCGAACACAGACGTTCTTTTGTCGTTAAAAATTCTAGGAAATCAGCGACGAACAATTAATCCAGAAAGCGTCCAATCGACCAGACCAAATTTGAGCTCGCGAGAGGGAAGTTGGAGTGTGCCCACTATGGCACCAAGCGACTTACAGCATCGAAAGGCACAGAATTTCGGGTGTAGAACAACACAGGATATTATACACCTGAACTTCGGGTGTAGAACAACACAGGATATTATACACCTGAACTTCGGGTGTATAATAACGCGTCCATTCGTTTTTATGCTCTATCTGT